TTGAGACTTATCTGTGTAGCTTGGATGACATAATCAAAAATGCAAAAAAAGGACAAACTGTCAAAGGGAAACTGTCAAAGTCTGTTTAGAAAAAAAACAGACTAGAAAGTATAGCCTGCAAAGCAATTTTTCCTGCTGTGCATTTTTGCCTTATACTTGATAGCATATAATCCTTCACCCAAAAGGGCAGATATGAAATCAAGTCCTTGCCACATGGATTACTTCCGATTCCTTGTTTAACAATTATTAAATACAAAGGTCAAATAATTCTGAGGGTGAGAAGCAGAAACCTGTGAACAGAGTAGCCTAATCTGCAGATAACAATCATGGTCCTTTCCGTCTTGTTCTTCCCATTGGTGAGCCTTGCATTTGGCGGTGTTATGGTCTAACATCCACAGAAGGAGAAAGCAACAACTATACATTAATTAAACTCAAGGATCACTCATTGCACAAGGGCACCCTGTTAGGATACACATCTGGCTAAGAGACCCGAATCCAAGCCTCCGTCTTCCTGAGGGAATGCTCGCACCACCAGAGCCTCCCTTTGCAGATACATTTTAAGGAGAGCAAAGGTGCAGTTTGCTGTTGCCAGCACAGCCAGTTTAAGAGGTTCCAGCATCAGCATCTTCCTGCCCCTCCCTCCCCCTTTGCCCAAGGATTACAGCACTCTCAGCTGTATGGATTCAGCTGTTTGCGTGGGCACACTTCAAACTCTTTCAGTGAAATAGTCTACTGTAAATGCAAAAACACCCTCTGTTGGGGTTTCTTTTTTTTTAGGGAGGCTGAGGGAAAGGCTGGAAGGGAAGAGTGCAGCCTGACTTTTTCCACCAGACTATTCCACAAAGCTATTTGTACAGCCATATTCTGAAACAGATGAAGAAATAAAAATCTTTGAGGGTGGGAGGGGTGTAGAGATGAAATGAGGGTAGTGGGGAGGAATGATGCAAGCAGCTGGGCTGGAACCTCAAACTGGCTCTGCTTCTGTAGGATTCATAATGGGGAACTACACATGAAGCCCACATTTACTTCAGCATCTTTAATCAGGACAGGGCTCCAGACACACACTCGCTAAAGGTCTGAAACACCCAAAATGCAGCCTCGAGCCAGACACTAAGGCTTCAAAGAGAGGCAGCAATTCGCATCGTTCTCAGCTTCCCGTGTCCTGCTCATTAGTTTCAACTGTCCCTACACACAGCTCGTGGGCCTCAGCTTGCGCTTTGGAGAAGCCCACCTACCTGCACCTACCCAGGAGGGAGCAGAGGTGCCCAGCCTCCGAGATCTGAATCACTGTGCTGTACCCAGGCACCTAATTTTTGGGTATAACAATTCTGAAGCTGGAGGTGTCCAAAAACAGATGGTCCCCTAAACTTGCCTACCACCACTATAAATGGATCCCCTCACTTACTTCATTTCATTTTGCTTGCACCCTGGCTACAGAGGATGAGAAAAGGGAGCAGCAAAAGCAAGCGAAAATGCTGTATCTGCTGCCCCATTCTTCCACTTTCCATCAGCTCTACTGAGGCCCGTCTCAGAGTCACTGTTTTTTGGGAAAGGTGCCACCCTGTGCAGCATTTCTCCTCCTGGTGGGAACAGCTTTGGGTGGATTAGAGAGATACTACCGGGCAAAGCATATATTTTTGATTAAATATTTCTAAGGAACATTCCCACCGCTTAGTAGAACTTGTTTACATCTCAGCATTTCAGCCCAAGTTCAACCTGTGCTCTTTTTAAGAGGATTTTGTTTGAATGAGATATGTAAGTCAGGAGTCTTGAGCTCCATTCCCTTTTCTACTCCGACTTTGATGTGTGCCTTTGGGCGACACATTTACCCTCTCTGTGTCAGCTTCCCCCATCTGCAAATTAGAGATTTTCATAATTATCTTAATAATCCGTTAAGCACATTGAGATTTCTGAATAAGCAATACAATGTATAAAGGTTAATATTGTTTTCAAAAGCCAAAGTAACCCTCCTTATGTCATTTCTGCAAAAATACTGCATCTGATGTTTGAAAAATGTATCTGCCAAGTAGATGTTACTGCAGTAAATGTTCAGCACATGTTTGCTTCTACTGACGCACACTATTAGAAAAATTGCTTGAGACAAATTGAGATATTATAGAACAACCCTATTATGAAGCTAGACCACAAAAAAGCTTTTTTTAATTTAAACTAGATCATCAATAGAATAGGGAAGAGATGGATGAGAATGGGAAAGTTGGTTGTAATTATTTCTCTGAAGATCTGGAACATTATCTGACAGGATTTTAATTCTTGAGTCTCTATCAAAAGACTGGCAGTACTCCAAGGTCTTCATTTTGATCCTTAAGGGTAGCAGGAGGATAACAGTTTGAGCAAAAGGCCTTTACTTGCTATTACTTGCTAGCCTTGTGCTATTCTGCCTTCAACTTCTAAAATACTCCAGTCAATTCAGATTTCACAAGAGAAACACAAATTTATGCCCAAAAAAGTAAACTACTCTATACAATTATCACAAATGTACTTCAAAAGGAGAAAGATATTAAGGTGCAAAGTACCTCAAATAGGTACAGCTTCAAACTCAGACAAGGTGGGTGGCTGAACATGTGAGAATCTTGATGAAACAAACTCTCCAGAGGAGAAGAACTATGGGTAAATAATTCCATTGCCAAAAACATTTCTTCAGAAGATTAAAAAAGGTTCAGGGATGCTCCCAAAGAACCAAAAAAACCTCCCCAAAAACACTCCCCACCCCCCACCCCCCCAAAAAAAAAGCAGACTTATAAGTTACTGCCAACTAATTCTATAACAGCAAAGTTAAGTGAGAAGGACATGGATCAAAATTAAAAGTTGACACCTGAGATGTTTTAGCCACAACTATTCATAGTCAAAAATGAAAATAAAACTCCAGAATAGTGGGGGTTTGAACTCCCCTACTTCAGGCAATATATTCTTTGACAGAGAAATCTTAGTTGTTGAATTCAAGTGAAAACTATTTAAATATTTCAGCAAGCAGTTTAAGTCACCCTACCTTGAATAAATGAGCATTAAAATGTTTTAATTCGCCAGCTGAGTTATACCAATGTAAGATATTACTGAATGTAACGTGCCTCTAAAGCAGCTATCAAATATTAAAAAAAGACACATACAAAAACCTGCAAATACACCCATTGGGGTAACTTCCAAAACTTTACTCTGCTTCAAACAAAACTACGCACCTTACGTTCCTCAAATAGACCTGGTGAGCCAGAAGAATGCTGCCAGGAAAGTCAGTTCAGGAGACATAATTCAGAAATACCTCTAAAAATTGTTGAATCTGTTAAATTAATTCCCCATTAGTGGGAAATTCGAGACTGCAAGAAGCTCAAGAAATTGCTGCTAGTATATAGGATAGTAAGTTCAAAGAAACACACTTAATTGACAAGGCACTTTTAACCAGGTTTATAAAGAATCCAGTTCCACCTGTGTCACCATCAAGAACAGCGCTGCACTGCTCCAAGAAAACACCCACTGAAAAGAAACTTTGATTCACTACAACAAAAGTTCTGATTTTTTCCTGTTGTGAACGATTCCTAAATACAAATGATGGAGTTTTCTTTTTCTTTTGGGCTCATGTTTTTCTTGTTCACTTCTCATCTCATTTACTGATGTGAGGACAAATGCAAAAGCCTGTCTTGCACCAGGCTATTAACACCATCATTCCAGAAAGGAAATTAATTTGTACAGTTCTTATCTTTTATCTTGAGTCAGGGCAATGGTATGGAACAGTTACTATGTAAGATGTAAAGCTGATGAAAAACTTCAACTGTGGTTTGTGATCTGTTCAAATTAATTTCCATTTCCAGGATTGTATCACGAGACTAGCAGCAGCCCGTGCTAGGATCCAGGGTGCTGGGTAATTCCAACCCTTTTTACAGGAGCAAACCCATAGAAACAATCAAAGGCAATGCTGTCAGGTCACCTGGAAACCTCCTGCATCCTCAGCACGGTCCTCCTTTTCCCAGGAAAGTGGTAGAGCTCATGAGGAATCACTGTCATCTACACCCAGTGCCCACCCTCTCTCCTCAGATGGTAAAAGCTTTGTGATCTTTGACCAAGGAAAGAGCCTGACAGAAAGCCTGCAAGGTCAAGCAGACTGAACATCTCGGCAAAAATTCTTCACTTCGTTAATTCCAAGGTACAAAGTCACAACTTTACTGGACAGAATTATTGACTAAGCATCTCTTGTGACACTGGTAAATTCCCTGGCAGTGTTCAACCCTTTACCTGTTCTCTCTTGACCAGTTTTTCTAAAAGCTATCAAATCCTCAATACATCCACATAAGCTCAAGTAAAGAAAATAGAGTGGAAAATTTCTGCTAACGCAGGCAACATATGGACCACTAGCAATATGGATCCATTAACAACAGCCTTACATGATGGGGGGGCGTGCATGGAAAAAAGGAAAAAGAAAAGAGGCCACTAGTATTCAGCTAACTTCCTTGTCAGAGTCAGAGGGGATCAGAATCTCGGCAGACAATACCTTGACGTAAAAATAAAGCGTTACACCCCAAAAACCTATTAGTGAATACATCTCAGTTTCTACATGCAACAAGATACTGCATCATTTTGTGCATCTGGTTATTTTGGCCAGCCTAATAATAATCCAATTAACTGTTCTGTGTTGTGTAAGATTTAAGCACCACCAAATTTCTGATCATACTGCTAGAGGTCATGCCTGCTTTGTTATCATAAAGGTATTTTCAGGGCAAAGTGCTACAAGAACAAAAAGTTATTCTTAGATAGAGTTATGAGAAGACCATTCTAGAAACTCTTAAACAATTTCTGACATCATGAATGCTGGCTGTCATGACAATCAGTCTGATAATTTTTGCCAGTTTCTCAGACAGAGGCTTTATTTTTTTGTTTTATTTTCAAATGCATCCTTCCACCAAAGTACAAGAAATGCGATTTATTTTTTATTAAAACAATTTATAGAATTACTTAAGGAATATTTAACAACACCAATTTTTATTTTCAGATCTATTTACCTGAATTTTCTGAATGCCAGTATTTTCTTGAAGAAATATACACTCCTGAAAAAGTTATACACTCCAAGCAGTACAGGTATATGCGGATTACAGACTGAATGTAGTCCTTGAATCTAATGCTATAGTTTTACCATTCAGTTTTTCCTTCAGCAAAAAAACATGAAGGGTAAAGTCTTAACCCCATTAGAAGTCAAGGCAAAGCTTCCATGGACTGTAATGAGACTGGGATTTCACCCAAGGTGTTAAACTGTGGTTTGGGAAAGTGAATAAAAATACATCCATTATTGTAACAAGTACTTACCTGCTAGCCAGACTGAGCAATTCATGTCTATCGGCTACTGCGGATTTCTTTTCCAGTTCCCACAACATCACATTGATCAGGTATGAATTCTTAATTACAATGGGCACTTCTTCAAACATGTTTTCATAAGCAATATTTGCTTTTTTCAGGCTGTAAAAAAGTTAAAAAAAATTTATTAATATAACCAGTAACTCTCTTGTTCTTTTTGTTGAATTGTTGCTCCAACAACAATTGGCAATTTTGTAAAAACTCCTGATTTTCAATAGTTCCACAAACAAGAGTTAAGTTTTGGTAAAAGAGCATTTGCATGGCAAAACCTCACGTTTACAAAGACTAGGAAAAGCTGCTCTAGGAAAAACTCTCAGAAGTCAAGCAGCCGCTTTGCTTGCTAATACATTACTTACATGAAAAAGCCTCCAGCAAAAGACTGTACTGACAGGATTAACTCTGCCCCTTCCAAAATATTTTACTGATTTCCCTGCCATCAGGGTTTCTTAAATAGAAGTGAACAGTTAGTTACCACATGACACTGAAATACGTTTAAAATCATAACTACTACAATGAAAAACAGTTTCCCCAATAGCTGAATAATTAAAACTTTTACTGACCAAAAATTAGATTGACAAAATAGTGTGTGTTTTGGAATAATTAAATTCCATGGTGGATATTAAAATATAAATTTCCAGTGTATGTTTTTTTACAATATACATATAAAAACTATTGTTATTGCTTTATTATAAAGTAGACAGTAATAGCTGTAATAAAATCTGGAAATAAAGACATGATCTGTAAGTTTCTAAGGAAATACATCCTTAACTTCTTTGTATGCATATTGGGTTTTGGAATAAAAACTTTTGCTTTTTGCCTCGCCACCCCCACCCCCCCTTTTTTTTTTTTTGACTAAGCACAGATTGTTTGTTCATCATGGAAATGTTATATTTAGACACCAAGCAATGAAAAGATTCCGATTTTCCTCAATGAAGAAAGTTTAACAAGTGCTCGTGTTTTTGCTGTTGAACACCAAGCTGTTTGAGGAAAAAGATGACAGCTAAGGCCTACATCTATTACAAGCGTCTAATCTTTTGAAACAGAGTAATTATCCTGCTTTACTCCAGAATACTGTGTCCACACGGGGGAGTTAATTTGGAATAAATACAGATGAACAGCTATTCCAGAATACCTGTTCAATTTTCCTTCTGGAAAAAAAAAGCTTAAAGACAGACCAGCTATTTCCCCTTCTCCACTTCTTTTTTTATATTTTTGACTCTGTTCCCAGATACAGCTATCTTCACCATGGTCCTTACAGGCAGCCCGCTGAGCATCTCCAAAATCAGTTCAAGTTCCACCACTTCAGCCCTTATTTAGATGCCCAAAGACAGACTTTCATGCCTTCTCAGCCCACTGTATCAGTGCACGTCTATCGCTACCCATATATATGCAGTTTCCCCAGCACACACTATTACATGAGATTTTAAAATACAATATTTCATCACCCCGTGTACCCTTCTGCCTCCCAAAGAATCCAGCAAAACCTATAAGAAAACAGTCTTTTAAGGTACTTACGCTTCTGGAGAGAAGTCTTTTTCTTTGCAAACTTCCATCAGTTTGGGAGTCAGCCTGTATGCCTTTAGTGACAAAGACCCTTGGGCAGTCTTAATGGGATCTATAATTAAAAATGGAGGAAATGTATTATTACTAACCCCAGATTGCCTTTTTTTTTTTAAATATCTGAATGACATAAATAGGAGGAAAATAAATAAGTAGTCCTACTAAAAAGAATTAAGACAACCAACACAGACAAGACACTACAGCAGAAGTAAATCTATTGTACTGAAATGTAAAATACATCCAACTATATCCAGTGAAGCTAATTAATAAACTTAACTTGGAGAAATGGGGGATCTAGACCCATTCTACTCACAACATGATTTCCCCATTAAAGGTCTAATTCATGTTTTCTTTTCTTTCATATGAACTATCCACAGAACTTATGTAAGTTCATTTAAATAAAGATTTTTCCCTCCAGTCATTATGCAGTAAATTAAAATATTCATTAAACTACATTTTATCAAAAAAAAAATTGTAATTCTAGAGTAGCAATAAGGTAATTCAGATCAAGCTGCCCTGCTGCTTTGTGCATAACAATTCAACTGGTATATAAAAAGATTAGTTTTGCCTTGACATACTCTACTGAATTTAGGGGGAAATTTTCTAAACAAACTGTTACATTCCTAGGACAAAGAAGCTTAACACTTGCAGCATGATAACGGCTGAAGCATGCCAACATGAGAATAAAAGCTCTGTTAACATTCATGTTGTCTGAAACTTAACACAGTAAAACTTTTAGCAATTGGTGATAAAATGAAAACCAAAATAGACTGAAACAAGTGGAAAATTCATCAAGGTCTGATGATGCAATGTTTCCAGCCAATATAAGTATACTTTAACAACTTGTTCTTTACTGTAATCCAATTGTTAACATACTGAAACAATTTTGGGGCAGCTCATAAGATTGATCGTATTCATTAGTATTTTTTCTGACAGATACTCAGGACGTTACATTTACTTCTCAGCTGGAAACTATATGCAAGTCTGCCAGATATGGCAAACTGTGAGTGTTTGGGGAGGGGGAGGCTATAAAGCTGTTAAATTGCCTATGGTTCTGATACAGCACAGAACATCTGGTCTGGAGAGCTTGAGGAAACACCATTAAATAGGCAGAAAAGAAAAAAATCTTTGTGCTAAGAAACAGTCCAGGTTTTGTATGCTTCTGTCAGAGGTATAAAAAAAAACTTGGCAATTCGTGCGATGATTGGTCAGTCACGTACGGAGCCAGACACGCTAGCAAGCGGGGTTTGTTAGACATCTGGTCGGGTTCCACCAGCCCCTTCGACGAGGGAGGGGAGATGAAGGAATAAAAATGAAGCAGCTACTCCAGCATTCCAAAACGTACACATCAGGGCTCTGATAGCAAGAAAAATAAACAGAAAGAAGGAAACCCTGTCTAGACTTAGCTGCTGCTGAGGCTGGCGTAGACACAGGGTTGGTATTTACTCGAAAAGGCCTGCCAGGCTACTCTTACAGGCAAAAGACAGAATACAAAAATAGTAGTAATAATATTAAGAGGGGAAAAGAATAATAAAGGAAACCTCATACTAACCGTAAATGAGAACTACAGACTCCTCAATTGCGTGCTGGTAACTGAACTGGGAGTCCAGGAGGGCACGAGTGACAAAAGAGCCATAGTACGTGGACTGGTACCAGCCAACGTGAAGATGATCAATGTTTACGTGGCGAAGGCTTCGCATCATTTCCATCTGGTATTGAACTAGAATAAATAAAAAGTATGTTTAAAAAGTAAACTTACACAATCTGTACTATTTCGAGAGAGCTTGATGCTAAATGAGTAAATTGTATTTGATTTTATTTTCATTTTTGCAACTGCGTAGAAGCTTCTTTATTCACTGCTGGACTGTCTTCATGAAAATCCAGAGCTTCCTCAGAGAATGACAGTAAGACTAGCCTGAGTAAGCAGACTTTTTTCAGCTGCAGTTAATTGCTAAAGTTATCAACAAACTGTTACATGTCATTTACAGTGTGTATTACCTTGCTCATTCATAAAAAAAAATTCTGATACTGGGTTTCATTAAGCAGTAACATTTTACCATTTAGTAACAAAGAAATATTGTGATTTAAGTTGTAACACTGTCTGGAATTAGGTAACTTTTGGAATCAAAAGGAGAATTATTTAATGAGTATATGAAATAGAAGATAAACTATTTATGTCTTTTTCACAATGTAAAACCACATTTTCCGTATTAGAGTTTGGGGGAGCAGCAGTTATAGGTGTCAGATAGTTTTGATTGCATTTATCTTCAATTTTTCAACACTCTTTATTTTTAGATGTATATAAATGCGTAAGTATGCATGTATGTATATATTATACATAATACACGCACATATTTATATAGAGTAAGTTTCCTTAGACAGTAGAGAACATTTTTTGTCAGGCTTTTTACACCAACAGCTGTAATGTTTCATTGTACCAACGCATAAATTCTGTTTCTACTAAATGCTTCATTCAAACAGATTGCCTTGATGGAACAGAATTCTGTTCAGGAATGTTTAACATAATCCTATCGAGCAGATCAACACACCTTATCACTTATCAGACCTTTTAAACAGACAGACAGTGTGCCTGCTGGTTACATTTAAGGAAACAGATTTCAGTGTAATTATCCGATGAACCAACACTCACAGCCACCTGATAGGAAATCAAATGCAACAACACTACACAACCCTTAAGTTTTGTCTGCAGCTGCAAAATTTACAAAGATAAAAAACAACTCCCTCCCATGCATTCATTTTTGTGAATTTTTTTCAAGGCTTCCCCTTGTGCAGATGAAAATACGATATTCATTATAAAAGAAAGCAACATAAATTAATCAGAGGACAGAATGTGCTACGTTTTCAGACCCCACTTCACATCCTTTCAAGCGAAAAAAAAAAAATCCAACCATATTCTTTAAAGATACGAGGAGACATTTTTCAAGACTGGACAAATATTTTTCCAACTTATCACCCTTACAGCACAAACTACATTCTGCAGTCTGCTGGCCCTTTTCATTAAAATGCCATATCTTACTGACTGTATTTTTAAAGTAATCTACGTACACTTATATAAACCCTTGCAGACTTTTTCCATCAGCATATGTTGATGTTTGCATTCTATTTCATAATATCTTAATAGAAATGACTTGCAATTTGTGTTTCACCCAGGACACCATGATAATACAGCACCCCGAAACTAATACAGCAAAACCATCCAGGCTACAGTCTGAAATCCCCTAACAACACTGCAAGCAAAAAAAAGGCCTGCACCATTTGGCTGTCTCTAAACCAAGGCAAATCTAAAGATGCCACTACACTCTTCAGTACAGACAGCCAGCAGAACTGATCAAACAGCTATTTTAAAGTCAGTATGAAAACGTTTCCCCTTGCCAGATCAAAATAAATTTTAACCAAAATAAATTACAATATTTTTATCAAAATAAAATTTAATCATTGCACAACTTCCAGAAAGAGCGGCCAGTTTCAAGCATGCTCCTTACACAGCAGCCCCGATGCTTTAGCAGGTAGCATCTCAACAAAGATTTCTCACAAAAGCAAAGTTAAGATCTAGCTTGACAAAGAAGCTCAGTCCTTAAACTTAAAGGTTTTGTTGGGTTTTTTTGGGAGGAAGATGTTAAGTTTCTAAATTTTACAATTAAAACATAAAGAACACAGACCTCCCCCAGAACAAACTAAAAGAATCCTGCTGTGACCACGATTTTGAATTGAAAAAAGCATACGATCCATTTATTAAATGTAGCTAGAATAAACTGTTTTGGTTAAAAGAAGCTTTTCAAAGTCATATCTATGTGGAAAGCAAGTAAAACTTGCTTTTGACATGACGTGCTACAACGTGCTAAAACATGAAATTATGGTTAGATCCTTTCTAGCCAAATGAAGTCATGAAAAGGAAAAACTAGAAAGGGATTTTCAAAAGCAGCTGAAAGAGATAAAACATTTTTTGAGAATGAAGTTAAATGTGGATTTTTCAATAGCTGAGCTAGACTGCTCCTTGCAGTGGCAATTCTCTTGTAATTGAGGACACTGTCAAAGCAGAGGTTGTCATGTAATGATGGGAAAAAGATGCTTATATAGAGATTCCTATGAAATCATGTGGTTGACCCATTCAGATAACTTCTCCCTTAAGAGGTGTAATGTTAAAGAGAGGGAATACCCTAAGAAAACATCCAGATCTTTTACTAACCTGAATAAAGGTATATCACACTCTTTTAAGAGTTCATCTGAGAGGTAACTAGTAACCAAGTCCCAGGACAACTTCTTTTCTTAAACATGGTATAACCAGCATGGTATAACCAAATACTGAAAGTAAGTGTAAGTGATATCGTCTAAAAGAAAAAGGACTCACTGAACACCATCCAGATTTCAAGTCAGCAATTCCTCCTCTCATGACTGTTAGCAGTTAGATGATAATGAAGGCAACAGCGGAAAAATCTCAAAGAACCAATAAAGCATCAATAGCTAACATCTCTGCCTTGGGAAAACAACTGCAAAAATTAAAACATGATGCAGTCCCCACCAGGGAGAAATGGAAACTCTTTTAACCAAACATATATATTTTATAACACGTATTAGTAGCTAGATAGCTCCAACAAGCTGCCAACTTGCACAAATGGGTAACAGCCGCCAAGTTGCTTTTGTTGATATTGTTACCACTGTTTGTTTACATCTTTTGCCCAATCTACAGAACATCATCTTTCTACCTAGAAGTTTAGCACAGACTGGACAAGAGCTCTCCCCCCCCCAGTCCTCAATCTGCTAGGACTTGGGATGGTCACGCACTTCTTCTAACAAGGAGTTCACTGCTTCAAGTCATAGTCCTTTCCAAGCTACGCTGCAAAGGTGCCACTGAAAAGTGCCACTAAGTCTGAAAGTGCCCAGAACTGAGGTGAGCAAGGAAAAGGGCAGGGGAACAGCCAGACCAGGGTGCTTCCCCCCTCTCCCCCACATTTGAACAGTGTACCTACATTTTTAAGCAAATTATTTGTTCAGGAGTGTCCTTATGATGAGGAAAGCCAACAGACATGCCTGCGCTTCTCAGCGTGCTTCCTGCATTGAGAATGCACAGCCTCTGCCTCCTGAGCCATCATGCATCTCCTAAGCACCTCTCTGGGGTGGATTTTTTTTTTTTTTTTAAACAGAAGAGTCCCTCTTTTGCTATTATTAAAAAAAACCTCCTTCCTCTAAAATGGCAATTTTTTTGTTAGTTTGGAAACAAAAGGAGGGGGGATTAATGCAGCTAGAAAGTGTTGTTACAATTTGTCTAAAGCAGAAAAAGTACAAAACTATACAGTATGGTGCTTGTGCTTGAATATGACTGACTTGTGAGGATTTATACTAACAAAATCCCTTGAATGAAAACAGTAAACCTTACAGTAGTTTGGTGGGTATTTTTTTCCCCCAAATTCAACTATGTTTTAACAAACTTCTTGTAAAAGATTAAAGAAAATACTAAAATAACATAAACACTTTTTCTTTTTCTAAAAAGTACTGGCAACATTAGAAACTTGATCTGGGCTTCAACATACAGGAGGTACATACCCTACCTTACCAATAAGAAAATAACATACCCAAAATTATATAATAAATCAGAGACAAGGCCAAGAACTTAACACTAATGTGATGACCCGTTCAACACTGGAACAACTCAGCCACGTTCTCTAAATACCTTAAAATATCCTCGGTCAATAACTTCACTATTTGAAAACCTAATTTAAGAATAGGTCAAATCAACTGAAGCACTGAAAAAAGGAAAAAAAGGCCCATGTGATGATTTTAAAATGCAAACAAATCTAAGACACCAGAGTTTACAAACTGGCAAATTCACATCCTTCTTGAAAGAACAGCTTATTTCTAAAACGCTTCCAAAACGAGTGTTCCTGTAGCAACCTGATGCATGATGCAAGTTTATTTATCACTAAAATTGTATTATTTTTATTTCTTTATGAACAATTCATTAAAATCCAGCTCTCAGGAGGTCACATATCAATGTACGTGTTGCCTAAATTTAGTCCTTAAATAGTTATCATTACCATCAGATGAGATGCATTTCAGCCTGGCCACATTCAGACTGCTGGTAAATATTATGACATGTGAAACCCTGATCAAAGATGGCCTGGAGGCAATACGTTTGACGGCACCTCAGATGCTCAAGGCCTTAATTTCCAAAACATATTTTAAGTTGATACGCCTTAAGAAATCTGGTTTTAAGAGCAGCAACCAACATGTCTCCTAAAAAGCCAAGCCCCACCACAGTGGAAGAGCTTCATACCCAGTACCGCGTGCTGTAGACTGGTTTTACGATGCTGCTCACCCAGCTCGCTGCAGCGTGCGCTGGACACAGGCAGCACTACCAAAGGAGGTAACAACCAACTCTATGCAACGAACCATTAACATCTGCATAGCCTTCAGTCTGGATTTCACAATTAGGTGTTTGTCTTGACTCACGTTTCACAAATTTGTCCTTAAACTATGAACTCAAACAGCAGAAGTTACACATGTCTTCATGAGGGCAGGTCACTGATTCAAGAACAAGGTAGACCTTTAGTACTCCCTCACCTACAACAGCCTCCTCAAAAAGACTCTCTGGAGTATCTGAGGACGAATATTGTTTCCCTGCAGAATCTTGGGCATGCAGAAGACAGATGAACTAAAACTTAGTGTTGTCACTAACTAAAATTTACTCAAGACTGGGC